TTTGGTGTTCTTTAATGTAGTGCAGGGGTCAGAAGTGGGTAACACATCGTGCAGGGGTCTACACATGCCTGGTATCTTTAACTCGGGGGGGTGGCGAGTTTGACAAGTGGCACAGCTTGTCAAACTCGCCCATTGAGTTCAATGGGGATGTGCCACAGCTGTGTGCAATGCATGCGATTGTGGTGTGGTTGTGCAGCATTACGGAGTTAAGAGCCTGTTTACACCAGAGACATTGGTTTGGAGGAAGATGAAAGCAGTGCCAGTGCGTCAATCATGCCTCATTGCACTGTTTCCTTCTTTTAAAATATTTAAACTTTTATTTTTACAAACTTTATTGAAATTTCACAGACACAGTGACATTTAATTTTCTATTGGCTGCATTGCGAGGCAGTGAACTGCACTGCACTAAAAATGTTTTGCATGCCATTCAAAATCTACTTTTGGCAAATCAATTTCTTCCCTGGGACCACCGTCCTATGCCCAGAAGAGTTACCATACTCGCAAACTGCTATGTTGGCAACCTTTGTATCTGCTTCTAGCTCAGAAAGAACACTTTGATTATGTCACGTAGAACCCAAAATGACATATTTTTGGTCTTTTTAATACTTTTGAATCCCTTATGTAGATTAGTATTGATTCTATTGGCTATGTGTGCTCATTGTGGGTTCATGGCTCAAAGTATTAAAGCCAGAGACAAATGGGCAACTAGCATTTTAGAAGTAGGTCAACAATTATGGCCCCAATTTAATACTCTGTACAGTTCAATGTGAAAGAATGGTAAATGCATCTTAAATGCCAATATACATTATGACTGATAAGGAGGAATACAGGTGGATGATAGAGAAAATTTACACAGCTTCCCTGCTCCCTTTGCCATTCACAGAAATTGCATTACTACACTTCCATAATGCATCACATTTTGTGATTGGTGGTGATGTCATTCAACTGCTCCACCTCCCATTCACAGAACGCACTGCATTGCAGCAATATAAAAATTTTGTGAATGGCAGAGCAGGCAGAAGGGGGTGACCAATCGGCACATTTTTTTTCTGTAGCACCAGCTGCTGTTAACTCTCACAGTGCTGAAAGACCGCTGCTCAGGGCATTATCTTGACAGCTTTGAGGAGGCATTGCAGAGAGGATTTTGTTTTAGCAGAAATGGCAACCTGCAGATAAGGGCTCATGTACACAGGGCGTTTGAAAAACTTTTCTGAACGCTGGAAACTGCTAGAAAACGTAGGTTAAAAAACATCAGTTTAGCCGCGTTTACCTACTGCGTTTATGCGCATTTGCAGTTTTAAAAGATAACCTCAGGAGACCCTCCCAAATGCCCAGAATGCACTGAAAAATAGTAATTAACTATTCCAGACATTTTGTGAGAAATAGAGCAAGCAGAAGCAGAGAGAGCACTACTTTCTGTTGGGTGTTTCAACTGTACAAAAGTGGCTTGTGAAACATGCTTGGCACTGTGGGAGGAGCTACATAGTGCTGTAATGCCTCCGGATGCATTCTGGAGTGCACACAACACTCCTTGTGCTTTTTTGCTGTGTTTTGATGTGTTCCAGTACAGTTCTGTGCAGAAATAATGCAGCATGTTCTACCATTATTTCCTGCACACAAAACCTGGAACTGACTGCACTGGTGTACTGGATCTATTTGAATACATGGAAAACGCTGTGCATGCATTTTTGATGAAGAAAAAAGGCTCTGGGCAGCATCTGGATATAGACCAGCCCAAAAACGTGTCTAAACACAAACACGCATAAACGTTTTTAAACGCGTTTGGCATTTGAAACGCCGGTTAACTCTACTCCTGAATGCGATTTTTGTGTTTTCAAAAAATGCATGTAACCTCAACTGCCTGTAAGCGACTATGTGTACATGGACACAGGAAAACGTAAAAGAGTTCAGGGGCTGCTGGAAAACCAAACTGACATCACAGAGCTGTTCCAGGCTCTGGAAGGATCCCAACCCTGTTGACCGGATACACCTAGATGCCTGATCGGCAGTTGGCTTAGCCTCTCAGTACTTGGCTGAGAGACGAAGCTACCTGCTTCCACCCTTTCTCCAGGGCAGTGCTCCAGTGAGTGTTGGAGTGGCAGAGCAGAGAGCAGTGACTAACAGTTGCTGGTCTCTGCTCAGAAAATACAGCTGATCATTAAGCAGTCGCGTCGCATTAAGGAAGTCTCTTTAGTTTTTGTTTTGTATTTTTAAAGGATAGAACTTTCAGTGTCTACATTTTTTTTTTTTAACCTTGGTTGTCTCCAAAAGAAGGAAGTGATATGTTGCCTGACCTCCCATGGACTCCCAGTACTCCTGAATGTAGCAAATTGAGAATATTGATTCAGGTGATGATCTCTTGAGCCTCATGCACACTGCTGCATCTGAATATATTTGTAAAGACAACTGACTACAATCGTATGGAAATAACTGATTACTTGGTGGTCAATCATTAGCCACCTAAAGGAGAGACCGTGGATTGTCAGCAATACAACAGGGGAAGGAATATCTGGCCTGACCTGACCTTTAAGAAATAACCGGTGGATTTGGAAAAGAGTTCTTCTTTAAATGCGCAGTTAAACTGTGCATCTGGTGAGTGCACAGCTTTACCTTTTCACTATCACCGCGTGGAAGAAGCACCTTTTGAAGGAGAGGGATTGTCACTAAGACTGTTTTGCACTGCATGTCACTCTGTTTGTGACAGAATATTTGTGGTTTCTTATTAGTCACCTAATCATCACATATACCTTGGATATTTCAGCATAATTATAGTTGTGATATAGCGCCGCCTCTTTTATATTCATATGTTTGCGAGGTTTTTGGTATACTTTTTTGATGCTTGGCTGCTTTATTTCATTCAGAGCGCTCACAACTTTCTCTTAAGCTAAGCAGTCGCGTGATTGCTCAGTTCTGGGTTTAGAGTAGGTGGAGGACAGCTGCAGCATCAGACTGATCCTGTAGCATGGAGGCAAGTATGTATGTATGTATGTTTCTTTTTAAAACTCCATACTTCTCCTTTTAAGTATGGTTTCCTATATATTGCATTTGCATGATCCATTCATATAGCCTGTGTTAGGTGATATACGTGGCTTTAATGTGCTTTACAGCTTAATGTATGTATTTTCTTTGCTGTCCATCTCAGCTGTTGTTAATAAATGATGTATGAATCAAACCCAGTAAATAATACACCAAAAGCACATCATATAGGCTAGCATTCAGCAGATGAAATGACCTGACTTCTGAACAAGAGCTTCAGGCACACCCCACCCACACAGAGATGTAAGAGGCATAATTCATCCTCTCCAGCAAAGAGAAAATCATAATGGGGGTGCATTAAATCTACCCACATAAGCAAACAAACTGAACTACTGCTGCATTTATTTCTGTAAAGCTCAAAGAGGAATACTTCAATTCTGATAAAATTAACTGCAGCCATGATATAAGATATTTAGTGCAGTCTATACTCATTCAGTATTTTGCTTGCTGTGAGTATTAATATAAGAAAGGGACTTGTACATAAACATAGTACACCATTCAGCTATCTGATTTAACCTTTAGTAGTCAAGTCAGTATTGGCTTTAAAGAAAACAGTTTTTTATAGTGTTTTTAGATTTAGTGTTGTTTAGATGTATGTGTGAAATTGATCACCTTATATAGTATGTAAAATACACTTAAATCCTTACTTGTTTTGAATATCAAGTAACTGATACTGCATCTAATCACTGTGTACTACTTCTGCACCCACAAAAACCCAGGGTTCCATCACTGTCCAATTTCCTGTTTTGTTGTTCGGACTCTACCCTTGGTGTCTTACAGTTGACGCTTCACTGTGGTGAGTGGACCCACAAACCAGTTCTAAGGCTCAAAGGGAGATGTCAGAGCTGTAAGCTGACTGCTGCTACAAGAATGAGATCCAATAGAGTGGATATAAAAAGTCTACACACCCCTGTTAAAATGTCAGGTTTATGTGATCTACAAATATGAGACACAGAAATTATTTCAGAACTTTTTCCACCTTTTTAATATGACCTATAAACTGTACAACGTAATTGAAAAACAAACTGAAAGCTTTTGGGGGGGAGGTAAACATAAACTAAAATAATGTGGTTGCATAAGTGTACACACTCTTTTATAACTGGAGATGTAGCTGTGTTCAGAATTAAGCTAGGAGTCAGTACACACCTTCCATCATTTTAAAATGCCTCCGATTAACCCCAAATAAAGTTCAGCTGTTCTAGTAGGCCTTTCCTAACATTTTCTTAGTTGCATCCCACAGCAAAAGCCATGGTCCGCAGAGAGCTTCCAAAGCATCAGAGGGATCTCATTGTTAAAAGGTATCAGTCAGAAGAATTTCCAAGGCATTAGATATACCATGGAACACAGTGAAGACAGTTATCAAGTGGAGAAAATATGGCGCAACAGTGACATTACCAAGAACTGGACGTCCCTCCAAAATTGATGAAAGACGAGAAGAAAACTGGTCTGGGAGGCTGTCAAGAGGCCTGCAGCAACAATAACCACTAGCCTACAGGGCACTTATACCCCCTACCTGCCCAGGCCAATTTCCAGCTTTCAGCACTGTTGCACTTTGACAATTGCGCGGTCATGCAACACTGTACCCATATGAAATTTTTTTATCATTTTTTTTTTGTGACAGAGCTTTATTTTGGTGGTGTTTAATCACTTCTGGGTTTTTTATTTTTTCTTAAACCAAAAACCACTGAAAATTTTGAAAAGTTTTTTTTTTTTTTTTTCTTTTTTTGTTATAACATTTTGTAAATAAGTGATTTTTCTCCTTCACTGATGTGCGCTAATGAGGCTGTAGTGATGGGCACTGATAGACTACACTGATTTGTGGCACTGATGGGCACTGATGAGGAGGCACTGGTAGGTAGCACTGATGGGCATTGACAGGTATCACTGATGGCCACTGAAAGGCAGCACTCATATATGGCACTGACGGGCACTGTTAGGTGGCACTGACTGGCACTGTTAGGCGGCACTGATGCACATTGATAGGCAGCACTGACTGGCATTGATAGGTGGCATTGACTGGCACTGATGGGTGACACTGAAAGGCAGCTCAGATGGGCACTGATATGTGTCATTGATGTGGCACTGATGGGCACTGGCAAGTGGCATGGATGAGCACTGACAGCTGGCACTGATGTACACTGACAGTTGGCACTGCTGGGGCTACACAGATCATCAGGGCACACTGATCATCAGTGCTCTGATGATCTGTGTACATGTCCCCTCCGAGGAATGCCGATTACCAGCTCTCCTATCCTCACGAGCTGTCAGCGTGACAGCTCCTGAGGAGAGAAATGCAGATAACCGACATCTCCCTGTTTACATGTGATCAGCTGTGATTGGACAAAGCTGATCACATGACCGAGCTGACATCTTCGGCTCTTTCCGTTGATCGGTGATCCGCTGTGTCCGAGGGACACAGTGCACCGCCGATCGCCGCGCTGCGCGCTCCCAGAGCCGTGCATGCGCACTCAGAATGGGAGGACGTCTTATGACGTCCTCCCAGAACGAGAGAACCACCTTGCGCCTGTCATTGAACTATATGGCGGGCGGGAGGCGGTTAAAAGAGCTGCAGGAATATCTGGCAACTGCTGACTGTGTGGTACATATTATAACAATTTCCCATATTCTTCATATGTCTGGGCTGTGGGTAGAGTGGTAAGACGGAAGCATTTTCTTATGAAGAAAAACATCCAAGCCCAGATAAACTTTGCAGAAACATATCTGAAATCCCCCAAAAGCATGTGGGAAATGTGTTTATGGTCTGATGAAACCAAGGTTGAACTTTTTTGACCATAATTCCAAAAGATATGTTTGGCGCAAAAACACTGCACATCACCAACAGAACACCATACCCACAGTGAAGCATCATCAGGCTTTTGGGGCTGTTTTTCTTCAGTAGGAGATGGGGCCTTAGTCAAGGTAGAGGGAATTATGAACCATTCCATATACCAGTCAATATTGGCACAAAACCTTCAGGCTTCTGATAGAAAGCTGAACATGAAGAGGAACTTCATCTTCCAGCATGACAACGACCCAAAGCATACATCCAAATCAACAAAGGAATGGCTTCACCAGAAGAAGATTAAACTTTTGGAATGGCCCAGCTAGAGCCCAGACCTGAATCCGATCAAAAATCTGTGGGGTGATCTGAAGAGGACTGTGCACAGGAGATGCCCTCGCAATCTGACAGATTTGGAGCGTTTTTGCAAGGAAGAGTGGGCAAATATTGTCAAGTCAAGATGTGCCATGCTGATAGACTCATACCCAAAAAGACTGAGTGCTGTAATAAAATCAAAAGGTGCTTCAACAAAGTATTAGTTTAAAGGTGTGCACACTTCTGCAACCATATTATTTTAGTTTTTTTTCTTTTTACTTCCCTCCACCTGTTTGATTTCAGTTTGACATTCAACTACGTTGTGTAGTTTTTAGGTTACATTAAAGGTGGAAAAAGTTCTGAAATTATTCATCTTTGTGTCATATTTTTTTTTTTACATCACAGAAACCTGACATTTTAACAGGTGTATGTAGACTTTTTATATCTACTGTATGTACTTGGAGATGCATGTTATTCATTAAAACAAATCTTTTAAAGGGAATCTGTACTGAAATTAGAAGAGTTCCTGCTTGGCTGATCTCCTTCTGAACATAATAGTTGTCTGGCTTTTTCTGGCTTCTGAGCCGCCGACTCTGAAACAAGTATTTTGGGGATGGGAGTTCTGAGTAAAGTCAGAATTCATGATCTGCATAAAGCCAAAGCTTTTTTTTTTATATCTTTTAATGCATTCAATTAATTTAAGGTAAAAAAAAACGTTTTATTGTTCTCTGTCTTCCCCCTTCACTGTGTGAGGGGGAGAAGAGGTCCAGCACTGTACACTCTTCTCCCCTCTCTCCTCTTCACCTAACACCTGAGCAGCAGCAGGAGCCCATGGCTCCTGTTGCTGTCAATCAAATGCTGTTAGGAGGAAGTGGGTTGGGCTAAGCCCCACCTTGTGTCTAGGGAGTGCGGCTGTATAGAGACACACAGCTTGGGAGCGAGCATGCACTGTGTGCCCCCCTAGCTAGCGGTTTGCTATGGGGGCACAGGAAAAAGAGGTGGCAAGATCGCTGGTTAGAGACCCTAGAAGAGGAGGTTCGGGGCCGTTCTGTGCAAAACCAAATAGGAGTATAACATGTTTATTATTTTAACCAAAAAAAGAATTGGTGTCACTTTAAAGGTCAGTGACAATGCAGCCCTGGAAGGGATCACTTGTAAGGTTAAGTATGCCATAGTGTGCTAATATGCAGTGCACGTAATTGCTAAAAGCTTCCATTTGAGAAAAAAAAAACTGTTTGGAAGTTTAATTTAGGTTTAAAATCAATGGATTGGCATGGCTGCCTGGGAGCTTCTATTTTCAGGACAAGTCACCAAAGGTAGCCTCCATATTGTATCTGCACAGGGAAAAAATTCCCACGTTTATTTAGTAGCTGAGCTTGGGCTCCCTTTAAAACTGGAGTTTTGTTATTGATATTTTTGTATAGTTACATTACAAAGTTACAAAGCGTTCTCTGATTGGTGATTGTGATGTCACCATCCTACTGCTCCATCTTGTCAAATCGGAGAATACTTTGCCATCATTGAGAAAATGTTGAACAAGTGACCACCTGTTTACACTAAGCTGCAGCTACTTGACGAGAGACCTGGAAGTTTGTATGTATATATAAGTGTGTGTGTGTGTGTGTGTGTGTGTGTGTATATATATATATCTGTGTGTGTGTGTATATATATTTTCAAGATTTCAAGGTATTACACAACCCTGAAATTTTTATAATATTTAGATTGGAGTTGTGGTAATTTCAGAGGCAAATAGATTTACCACACTTCCAATTTTAGGGATGCTGTCATCATGGTGGCTCTTTTCAGGCTATTTACATGTGCAAAATGTTTAATATGATCTGATTCTGCCCTTGCTAAAGCAATTTATTACGCCCTTTGTCAGTAATAGCCCTGTAGTGTTCTGCACCCGTTTGACACTTAAAGGAGTGTCAGAGGCTTTTTGTATAACACTGTGTACTGGTTCTGATGTCATGAAGGTGTTCGGCTGCTGCCTGTTGAGCTTGCAACACCTGAGCTGTGTATGTGAGAGTACCTGCATATTATCACTGTACAGTGAGTCGTGATGCTCAGCAAAGGCAGACATCAGCCTGCTCCTAGTTGTCATTCAGAGCACTGGAGGAATTTTATACACTTCAAATAGTTTGTACAAAAAAAAAAAAGAAAAGCCATATGATGCGCTGAACCGTGAAGCACACTGCCCCCTACCGCAGCCAGACAAATGCTGGAGCGGTGCAGTGAAGTGCTTCGGCAGCTGTCATAGCTGCTAACACATGTCAAAGTTGTAAAACTGTGTTCAGGTGTTAGGATTTGTTTTACCTAAGGGGATTATGCAAGTTTGAATAAAGAAATATAGCGTTTTAGTTATAATTTAAAGTGGAATGTTCGTCAGAAAATTGAGTTCTGCTAGATCACTTCAGACTGGCAGCTTTTGCCGGTATAGCTATGAAAAAACATTAAAAATAAGTGCCTACATGGTTTTTAAAGGATAAGTTCACCTTTTATAACTTACATGTTGGGGTGTAACATGTCATGGAAGCACTGGTCCCCGATCCCCCACTTTGACAGTTAGCGTTAGATCTCCACCCCCCCCCCCCCCCATTAGCTGTCAAAAAAAAAAAAAAAAAAAAAACCCGTGGCCATACTGGGCTCTGCCTGCCCAGCCGCTTCACTCTTCTGTAAATGGGAAACTACAAGTCCCGGCAGCCTTAGAGTCTGTCAACTTGTAGTTCTCAATGAACTACCATGGTACTGTGGAGCTCTGTGGTAGTTCATTGATTCTTCCTGTCAGTATAGCTGCTTGCTCATACATACTGTACGGGCAAGCAGATATACTGACAGATCTGCAGGAGATCTGCATGGCAACAGTGATCTACTGATCGCTGGTGCAATGGCTTACAGGCTCCTGCAGAAAAAATAATAAATGCACATTTTTTTGCGGGTGAAAAAAAATGTGCATTTATTATTTTTTGCCAAAAGGTGAACTTATCCTTTTAAAATCCAGTAAAACACTTTTTCACCCTGCTCTGCACATGATCAGTTGATCTCTGTTTTTCAGGGTTATAACCCTCTCTTACTCTATCCAAACTGAAAAAAGGTTTTGCCTGTAGGTCTGCTTTAACCGCATTCCCACCGTCCTATAGCAGATATACTGCTACAGGGCGGCAGGGGTGTGCAAAATCATGAATGTGTGTGTGTGTGTTTGTATATATATATATATATGTGTGTGTGTGTGTGTGTGTGTGTGTGTGTGTGTGTGTGTGTGTGTGTAAAAAAAAAAAAATATATATATATATATATATATATATGTGTGTATGTATGTGATTTTGCATTTCCGGGTAGGAGGCACGCTCAAGCCCTACCTGCGCTGCTAATCGCGGCCTCGGCTGTCAATCACCGTGTCCCGGCCAGTGATTACTCTTCGGCACCTGGTGATTGAGGCGCATTACTGATGGTGGGAGAGAACTGTAAGTAAACAATACAGTTCTCTCCCCTGTCATCTCCTGCACACTGCTATGCTTGGCTTTGCATAGCAGAGCCATGCAAAGCAGTGTTCTTATAGTGAAGTGCACGCACACTGTTAACACTTTGATCGCCCCACATGTTACTCCCTTCCTGCCCAGTTCCATTAGTACAGTGTCAGTGCTTTTTATTAGCACTGATCACTGTATTGGTGTCACTGGGGATTTCAGTGACACCAAGTCAGATCCCCACAGTGTCAGAATGCCTGCCGCAGTCCTTCTATAAGTCTCTGATCGCCTCCATTACTAGTAAAAATAAATAAAAAAAACAATTTTCATGCATTGGGATTTTTTTTTTTTAGCAAAAATATGTAGCAGAATCCATTTTGTCCTAAATTTATGACGAAATTAGATTTTTTTTTAAAATTTTTTACTGGACATGTTTAATGGCAAAAAGTCAAAAATATTTTTTTTCCTCTCTAAATTGTCGGTCTTTTTTTTTTTTTTTTTATAGCGCAAAAAATAAAAAATGCACAGGCAATCAAATGCCAACAAGTTGTGGGGAAAAAAAATGTGAGCGCAGCGTATTACAATTGAATACTGAGCAGTTTGGTGTTCTCTTACACAAGTTCTTCTCGCTTTCCCATTGTCAGATATTATGCTCTTCTAATGAATTTATAATGAAAATTCTGGCCGCAGCGCCAGATGTTAACTGCATTGTGTTCACAGGGAGCAATCACCTTGTGGCTAACCGTGCTCTTAATAGCAGGTATCATCACACTATTGCAGTGCCAGGCAGGCAGGCAGACCACACAACAATTAGATCCTCACTTCATTCTGTGTTGGTCTGATTTAAAGGGAT